TTAAAAATAAGAAGCGACTTGGAATGTCGTATTGCAGTGATAACAACCTTACCGTTATTTTTTTTTGTTTATTTTTCCAATTAAAAATCTCGAAAGAAAGAGCTAAAAAAAATCTCTTACACGGCATCTTGGTAAAGTTTATAGGAAAAGACAAAGAGACAGTTAGTGCAAACTAATTTTCCAGTTGGACAAACTTGCACTGGAGCTTTTATACGCGCCGTCGGATACGGAAAATTAAATTAAAGAAAATAAATATTTGTAGAAAAGAAATAGGCACATCGTACGTTCATCGAGTTCGTAGTAGAGCTCCTTGTGAAGAAGTACTGCAACCTTACCAGCTTCTGCCGCCAAGCAGCAATGTTAGCCTTACTGCGTTTCGTTTTTGAAGGGTGCTGATAAAATTACAGTAACATGGGACTCATCAACTTATCTCTCAGGATGATGGGTGCGCTGTAGTATCTTTCAGATTTTTGCGAACTTTAAAGCCCTGATAAAATATTTGGAATATCCGTAAGGGTTAGTAAGAGCATACTTAAAATGGTGTTAGCACTACAAATATATATATATTTTATATACATAAATTCAGTGCTCTTGAAAAGAAACCTGGACTAATTCTAATACTATTTCTGCGCATGAGTAAAGCCGCTATTTTTCGCGTAATAGTTTTAAAAACGTTAGCGAACATTTTCGATGTTCTGCAGAAGCGTGGCAGCTGCAAAATTGTCCTGATTATATTATTATATAGAACTTGTATGGCTGAGAGCTTAAGAATCGATACTACCTTAGCTCATATTTTCCCCTTACGTAATAGGTTTTATTGCGCGTCTCGAGTGGCAAGGTCACTGGCTTTATTTCAGTATTTATTATTTTACAAACGACATTATAAGCCATTTGCAAAATATATATCGTATACTTATTATACGTGTTCTATTTATTTCAGTTGATATAATAAATCATTGGATATATGTAAGGATATACGTGACACAAATCTCGCAATCGATATATTTTCAAACTAAATAAGTCCCATTTTTGTTTGTTGTAAATAATAGACATTACATTGCATATGCTTATCACTGCATATATGTATCAAATGAATTATTTAAGTATTTTATAAATATAAGAGAACACACCATACTACATTATAGAAATATATACGTAATTTATTTTAGTTTAAACGCGACACACACGTCCGGTACTCACTCGGTTTTAGGGTCCACTGAAAATCAGCGTCACAGCCTTGTCCCGGCGGTGACATTAGCTGAGTGGATCCTATTCCATACGCCACAGCCGCACACATGACATCTACTTAGTAAAGCAATAGTGTTGACCAGCTTTGTGGTCGCATAATTATTTATAGCTAAGATTTTATTTTTAATTAATTTTGTTTAGTTTTCTTTTTTGTTATTCATTTTCTGTTTGTTTTAGTTTTAATTTTGTTCTGTTTTATTTTTATTTTTTTTTTTACTTTTTATTTTTTACTGTTTATTATTGTGTTGTGGTGTTATGTAATAAATGTATTCTATTCTATTCTAAGGTACCTATTGAATACAGCGGTTTTTTTGTAAAATTTCAAGGTGAGTTTGTGTTTTTTTTTATGTCATGAAAATTTTTAGGCATCGTTTTTCACACCGTATACTAATCAGTGAGTATCCTTAGTTTCACTATACATGTATTTTTTCCAATGTAATTCAACACTTTCACTGTTATGCGGTACCAACTAACAACAACTAAAGCCATTTGAAGTTGTTACTTTTTAGTTGACTCAGGCTGCATGTATGAAATGACGACAGTAAGCTTTGAATAACGTTATGGACAGGCGTGTCACCTACCACCAGGCGCGCGATTGTTCATCCCATCACTTTGTATCATAAACAAAATCTGCCCTTGATACTTTTGAAAACTACCGGGAGTCCCAGACGTATTCCGTGGCAGTGATTCGACGGAAACCGGCAACAACCGCCGCGGAACCTCATGATTAAGGACCATGGATGTGAGTTATCCATTAGTTTAGTTAACTACCCTTAGAACGTCCCACTGCTCGGTACGAGTCTTTTGTACGCAGACGATTTAGGCTATAATTCGCTCTGTTGACCCGGTAAGAGCTGGAGAATCGTTTTCCAATAGTTCACAAATTTGGTTGACTACATAGAGTATCTTTTTCTTCTTGAGGTGCCACCTCCTTCTAGAGGTCGGCTATCCTTAGGGCTATCTGTATTTTAGAGACAGCTGCACGGAACAAGGATCTTGTGCTCAGGTTGAACCATATCCGGAGGCTCTTTAGCCACGAAATTGGCCTTCTTCCAGGTGTTGCTTTCCTTATATCTTTCCTTGAATAATTAGTCGAAGTAGGTCGTATTTATCATTACACCTTATATGGCCAAAGTACTGTAGTTTGCGTTTCTTGACAGTACTCAAGACCTCTAATTTCTTATTAAAAATCTGCAATACTCTTTCATTGGATACTCTATCCGTCCGCGATATTTTTAAAATTCTTCTGTAGACCCACATTTCAAATGCTTTAAGCGGCTACTCATATTTTGAGTTAAGGTTCATAGAATATAAAACAGTTTAAACGGTAACCAAATTTACTTTGTAAACCAGCGCCGACGGTGTTATTTATTTAATTTTTATGAGAAATCCGATATCAACAAAATCTTACAACTTTGAATTACAAAGCTTCGTGTACATGTTAAATCGATGCCGTAGTAATGTCTAACGACTCTTGGTCTCTCTGTCTGGATAGTTGCAAACTATGAAACAAATTTCCAAGTTTCAATAATTAAAAAATACTTGTATATTACTAACATACTCAATTTTAATCTATATAATATACTGTAAAAATATACATAATTTCATTAAGAAGATATCGATAATATTAACCTTAGAACTAAGTCCAAACTCACCACGATTTAACTATTCTTTTATGGGGAACTGTATACGTATTTACAATAAGACTCCGGAGAATATACATACTAAGATTATCATTTCCTAAGTTTTTTAAACTTACATTAAAAGTATTTTAATTGAAAAGTCATATACAAAATTGAAGAGTATATTTTAGATAAAGAATTATGGAAAGACAACAAGAGTCTAGATTCCACACAAATATGAATCAAGAATTCAAGATTCAATCGTTCTTCTCAGGAGGTCAGCGCAGTGAACGAGTAGTAGCTTAAAAAAATGACGTTTTCAAGTGTAAAAATTTTGCACCTATGCAATAAATGATTATTTGACTTTGTCTACAAATATTTTGGGTTAAAAGAATTTTTATTATACATTCCCGTACTAGAAATCCGATGTATACTAAATTTGGTAGAGTTCCTTGTGAAGAAAGCTTTTTGAACCTTAGGCCAGTGACCGTTAATGGGTTGGCGGAAATGGTGACATTATATAGGTGTATCATGGACCAATTACTCCAGTGAATTACTAATCTCCATTTACGCTTCCACATTTATATGGCTAACGGGCATGGAGTGGTATTCCGTGCCAGCAAACTTTTAACTACCTCAGCGGCTGAACGGTTACCACTGCCACGCAGAGGTCCTGGGTTCGATTTCCAAGTCGGGAAAAATATGTGTATGGCCTATATTTATTTCTCTCGTGACTTTTGGTGTAATTTGTGGTTGTTAATGTGTGTGTCCATGACCCAGGATGTTGCGTTATTATTGTTGTTGCGTTACATGTTCCCTGAACTATATGAATAGGCATTATTTATGCATGCTCCATCGTCGACCTCATCGTCACTGGTGGATGTTGAGATGGAGGTCAAATGAGCAATTACGCTTTTTTATAAAATAAAAAAGATCTAGCGCACGAGATCACGAGTGGCCTCCACCGATATAATCCCAAAAGTTTTGTCCGCGAACGGGTTAATTCCAGTTAACCTCGCTATCAACTTGAGGCGGTTGAATGTCAGTGTTGTGTTGCTTCCAGCACAAATGCAAAAAGAGGTCCTGCTGGATTCACCAGCTTTTTTTATAATGCCAAAAGACGAGACGTACAAGTCGTGCGCCTGCTAGTAAGTGACACGCCTATTCATGACAGTTGCAGTGCTACTCAGAGCTTTAAATCGCAAGGATCCTATTGGCACTGCCACTGCATCCGTTACCCTTCCAAACTGGAACGCAGTAATGCTTAGATTACTGCTTGACGGCAGAAATAGTTGACGTGCCGTTACTTCCCTAGACGAACTCTTTCGCGAGGATCTTTACTGTTATTAAGTCCCTGAATCCGGCCAACTGCGCTAATGTCGAGGAATACCGTCTTTTTAATTTAATAATTAAAATTTAATAGGATTTTTTTCTGAGTGTTCGATCTTTGTTTTAATAATTATAACAAACTAGTGGAGTCATTTCACAGAAAATAATTGAATATCAATTCAATAAAAATTTAATTAATACAGTGAATAGCGACATCTCTCGCCAGGACTGGTAGCTGTAAAGGTACTAACTGGGTGATAAATCTGTCATAGATTTCTTATAGATGGCGCTACGACTAAAAAGTCGTTGAAAAAGCAAATACAAAGACACGACGCAAGCACATAGAGGAATTCGTCCGTTGGTTCGTACCGTGTCTTAATTGGTATAGCGTCTGGCACGGTATGCAAGAAGACGTCGGTTCGAATCCGACCGGATCGAAGGAATTTTTTCTGAGTGTTTTTCTGTGTTCGATCTTTGTATTAACAATTATAAAAGTAAAGTGCTAAATAACCATACCATTAGCTGATCTCGTACTAGGAAATTCCCTGTCCAATGACTAAGCACCAGAGCAACGGAATTCACTGCCGGCCTCTATCCGAAACATCCAGATAAGAAACAAATTGGAAAAGTTATTTTCCCAAATTGGTTCGATCGGGAATCAATCCCCCTCCTCCCCTCCTCATCTAGCGTCCACAGAACAAACCGTTGAACCACCGAGGTTCTCAAATTTTCTGTTCAAATTTATATTGCGATATTATCTCGAACAATCAGTGGTTATATTATGTAAATTATTTGTTACAGATGGTTCACACAATGATGCCTATAGCACGGTCCATAGCGATAGGAATGTCTATCGTGCTTACACTGGCGTACTCTGTGCTCCTTGTACTGTACCAGAAAGATGAGCCACAGTTTTACCAACAGGTAAGTGTCAATGTGACTATGTATACTTATTTTGATAAGTATTAATCAAAGGCCTTTTCGTCGGCAAGTACCTTTTTTTTTAATTTTTAACCGACTTTAAAAAAGGAGGAGGTTCTCAATTCGATTGTATTTTTTTTGTATGTCTGTTACGCGGTAACTCCGGTATTTGTGAAACGATTTTGATGATTCTCTTTTGTTGTAAAGAGGGTACCTCCATAGTGGTTCCATTTCATTTTGAAGAAAATCATCCACGTCTATGGGTAGATGTGTAAGATTCATTTTTGTAAATAGCGCCTAAATTTTAGTATAAGAAGCAATTTTAATGGTTGATTTTGCTATTCTCCAATTCAAGGTGTTTATCTCTCAATATACTTTGAGTAGTGAGAACCGATTTTTGTTATCTCCTGTGTCAAGTTCCATATAGTGGCGAACTAGAGGATGAATCCGGGTTTGCGTACTTTCCGGTAACTGATTTCATTAAACTTGGCAAATAGATGTACCGTACACGTAATTTTGAGGTCGGTTTTTTAGTACTCTGTACTGATTAAAAATTATTAAGTTAAGTTAAGTCCTTCCATCCGTCCATCCGTCCATCCGTCCATCCGTCCATCCGTCCATCCGTCCATCCGTCCATCCGTCCATCCGTCCATCCGTCCGTCCGCCCATCCGTCCGTCCGTCCGTCCGTCCATCCATCCATCCATCCATCCATCCATTTATTTATTTATTTATTTATTTTTAGCCCCAGTAATAGTTCACAAACCATGGACATTACTTAATATTAATTTAATACTACAACAATGTTTAGCTTGGAACAGATGACAATTGTGCACAACATTGAAATAAAACAGATTTAGTTAAATATTCTATTTAAAAATGAAAATGTACGTATTTGAAAATAAAAGAAAAAAAGGAGAAGTTTGAGCAAACCATAAATTAAAAATCAACAAAAAATAAGCAAAATGAACGCATTTTGGATCTAGTTTTGAGACCTCGTAAACACTATAAACGATTTTAAAGATCGCTGAAATATATCAGTCTCAATGCCAACCTTATTCAAATTCCTGCACATACGAAACAACGGATCATTGTACGACACGTTGTATGTTATTACTGTCACATAAAAAAGTTTTTGCGTGCGGTACCTTCCAATCATAATCCCAAACCGATGTAACAATTCACTAGCATCGCACACAGAGTTAACTAATTTATATAACACGCCAAAGCTGTGCGAAGAGCGTCTACTCTCTAAGGTGTCAATTTTAAAATACCTTAACCTATCTTCACATGAGAACCTAAGTCTTATGTCGATCGTAATACGAAGACCACATCACTGAACAATACTCCAACACCCTTTGAAGCAATGCATTGTATAAAACAACAATGCTACATGGATTTCTGAGTGGCCGTGCAGACCTCATTAGAAAACCCATAATTTGATTGCACTTTGACACTATATAGTGATAATGCTGTTTATAAGGGAGACTGGAATCAATCCGTACTCCCAGATTTTTTATTACTGTCTTACGTTTGGATTCTACATTATTCATATTGTATGTGTAGTGTAAAGGATTTTTTTGCGTGTAAATTGGAGTAGATGACACTTGCTAACATTAAGCGACATTATTATTATTTCTACACTAATCTGAGAGCATGTCAATATCCTCTTGCAGCGCTAAAGTATCTGTAGTGTCTACGATTTTATTAAAAATATTTGTTGAAAAAAAGTTGTACGTTAGTAAAAGGTCGCACTCCTAAGAAATGTCGCACTTGTAACTCCAATTATTCGGATGCTTATTTTGATTCTTAACGGTGACCAATAGATGGCATCAAATATAAACCCCAGTTGTGATTGTAATCAAATTCGAACAGGCCAACAGATGACAGCTATTACATTATTGTCAAGGTTATTTGTTAATTATACATAATGTTGGTTATATATACTATAACATAGAATGAAATGGGCAAAGAAGCTGATTTAGCTTAGTTTTGAGAATAAATTCAAAGAAGTGCCATCTATACAATTTATTGCAAACTAACAATTTAAAAAGAATACCATTAAGAAACATTCCATTTGTTACCTATTCAACGGAAGTTTATTGTTTTCACCAATTTTCATAATTGTCAATGAATTTTAATTGTACATTCCTAAAATGTTGTTTATGTACTTTAATTCCGAATTCAAATTCTAAATTCCATTTGTTTGTCACGCACTAAAAAAAAACATAAAACATACTAATGAAAAATACGTCTATGGTTACAGATGTTTGGCGAGGATTCTGAACTCAGAAATGCTGTGCAAATTTAGTTTGCACAGCACTGATTTTCAGCCAGAACCTCCCTGGCAGGAGCTACAGTCTCACGTTTGTGTAACAGGCAATTTATGGAACAAAAATAGTACAGAGCTTGAATTAAGCTATTTCAAGACCGCGAAAGTAGAAAATAAAAATAATAATTTACACAATAGAAACCGATAGCGATTGTCAAGTTTAAATTTCCTTAGATGTTTAGTACTCAAGTTTTCGACATTCAATACTTCATATTTTTTATTTTTGAAAGTGTCGCCATCTACAGTTTTAAATATGTTCTAAAGTTCATTTGTATGAATGGATATCCCATGGTAATACAAGTCCTGGGAAGTTGTTAGTATTTTACAAAGAGACAGGCCGGTTTTATGAGTCCGTGATTTTGAGAAGAAGAAAAAAACATTTTTTTTATTATGATTTATTTTTTTACGTAATCTCCTTTTAACTCTATATACCTTGATCAGTTATATGAAAAATAGGCTTCGGTTTCGGTTATCACTCCCTTAATTGATGCAAATCGGTAAAAAAGTGTCAAATCAGGCTAAATCTGGTGAATGGGGAGAGGGGCAATAGTTCGTATCATAAGTCGACAAGTTTTGGTATTCTGATTGCAGATGAGAAACGGAATACTCGAAATTCCGAACTGTTTCATTTCATCATCATTTCTGTTTTTTTTTTATTTTCACGCTAATTTTCTTCTTAAGTTCTAAATTAAGAAATAAAAATAAATTAAGTATATCCCAATTCTGGGTACAGGTTAAATAATTTATACACCTAATCGAAAATTTTCTCAAAAATATTCTTGTTTCGCTGCAAATTCATGCAAATCCCGACGAAACTAAACTCAGTGTGTTTGCTTTATGAATAAACACGAAGCGAGGTGTGCAGAACTCGTTAGCCATCCCTTTTGTTTCTCTTTACAATGTAGAACTATACAAGATGTATCAAAAGTTTCCAACATCATATTAGCTTTTGTGTTTTTTTGTGAAATTACTTCACTAGTTTGTTATATTTATTAATACAAAGACCGAACACTAAGCCGATTAACACACTGAAGCGCGCCCCGCGACGGAGCGCGGAGCTGCGTTTTTTAATGTAAACTGAAGTACCTCAGGTTGAACACACTGACAACGCATTTCCGCGCGCGGTTTTAACGCACCCCCACGCGGAGGGGCGCGGCGAACTGCAGGGTATGGCACACCGCGCTCCGCACTACCGCGCACATTTTTAATCTTAAGGAATCGCAAAAGTTTTCTACAATAGATCTCGACGTCGATAAATTTATATTTGGTATTGAAAATCGACCAAATTTATCTTCATATTTTTTTAAATCTATGTAATGAAGTTGAAATTATCCATTTATCTACATCAAAGATGCGAACAAAAGCGCTGCTCTTTTTTTTACCGACATCATGATGTATGATCTCTCCAAGAGATTGAATTAGACTGATCGGAACACGGGTCAATGCAGCTCTGGTCTTCTCTTCTCCGGTCACTCCGCCCAGACCCGCGTCAGTGCAAAACGCACCCCGGGGCATGCTCGCGCACGTCATAGTGCCCTTCTCGTATACCCTAAGGGTCGGTAGGGAGGGCCACTATAATCAAAACTAATGTAGAAAGATACGGGACTGTCCAAATATTAATTAAATTTACTATGATATAAAGTGACGCGACGAACAAATCGTATGCCTGGTGGTAAGCGACAGGTGCAAAAATCTGAGGGACACTGCCTTTGCGCCCGTCACCCTGAGACTTAAGTTGACTGTAATTTCACCAACACCCTTACCCATTGGTGACGCTATAAGAAAAAATTGAAATACCTTCGATAGCTCGTGAAGAGCTTATAGAAACGTGAGCTCGCAAGTAAAAGGACGGGAAGCCGTGTTACCAAACATTACTGTCCGAAACGTCGAAGGGCCAACAACAACGCCACCATGTAAACACTTGCGTACGCAGCTTAATGCTGGGCGGAGAAGCGGATAGTTAATTTATAAAAAATGCCATGTTGCGGATTCGGATTTTTTGAGTTCGAAAATTAACGTCACATACACTTCACTAGCGATTTATGCGTCTTTGGCGTAGCACGGATTAGGATGGAAAAGGAAAAGGAGATGCGAGCTCAGACAAACTATCTGGCGTTACCACCCATAAGACCGAAACGCAGTAATGTTCTGATTACTACTTGGCGGTGGAAATAGGTAAGGTGGCAGTATTTCCCAGGAGGAACTCTTTCACATGGAGCTCTACTGCTACTAACCTTAAGATTTCAAAATCAAATTCTTTTTACTTCTAAAAACTTTTTTTAAGTAACAACTGCCTAACTTTTGCACAATATTTTCGATGGCTCCTAGAGGATAACTAAAAATACTTCTTTAGAACGTCTTAAGTACATTACCATTTTCCGTTTACTTTGAACCAACAACCAAAACCATAGGCAATCAGTTGTTATCGCAAATTTCAAATTACCTTTGCAACTCCTAAATTTATATTCCAAGTTTACCTGTAACTTTAAAATAAAGATAAGGTAAAATTACATGTATGAACTCAGACATTTCATGTAATAAATGCACAAAAGTCAAAGGCATTTCTTCCACGGGTAAAATGTTTACTCTTGAAAACGTCATTTTTTAAGTTGTGCTGACTTCCCAGAAAAGACTCGTTTCATCTAACACATAGTCTTCAGTTTTGTAATATGA